GTTACATGTGTAGATGATCTGGTGTGTATTCCGGCTAAATAGCTTCTTCGGAATTATAATTCACATCTACGCACGTAAAGCAGTGCAAGCTGGTGGGAAATTCGGTTGTTCTTTGTAATAAGCGCTTTTTACGTCTTGCATGATTCCGTCTCATTTCTACAACCCCGTTCCTTGATATCTTGTCGCTTCGCTGATACACAATTTGTTCTGTTTGCGTGTATAGTGTTTAAATTTGCAAATACCTTTTACCCGCCATAAACCATGGTTCCATTATTTATGGAGTATGCTAACATTACGGGTGCGGGTAGCTGAGTAACATCCGTCAGTCAATTATGTCTGGCAAATCCTCTTCCTGATACTTGTGCGCCTAGGTGACGGGCGAATCGAAGTTTAAACGCCTACTCTTATATATATATATATATATATATATATATATATATATATATATATATATATATATATATATATATATATATATATACGGTTTACTAAGCATGGTTGTGGAAACAGTGGCATGCTGGTTGGCCCCCGTATTCATGGTGCTCGCGCTTCGTACGATCGGTAACATCCCACGCGCTGCAGGTGCGTTCACTGAAAATTTACGTGGACGAGCGAATTAATGTGTTTACAAGACAGTATGTTGTGAGGAAAATCTAGGATAACTTGTGCACAGTTTCGTGCTGCAGACCAGTGTAACAGTTACTTCCATGTCAAATAATCCGTCAGACAGAAAGAATCAAGGAGTTAGGCGCGATCCACCTGTACTCGACGTCTGTGTTTATGAATTCGAGAAATTTCTCTAATTCCGTTCCACTTCAAATCTTAATATTATTTTGGTAATTTGAATAAAGCCGTAAGAAGACGAACACTGGCGGATGTCAACATTTCGTATTGTCTCTTCAGTGCCAACACAATAATATGAAAATCTATAAGAAGACAGGTAAGGTGAGACCGGAACAAGTTAGAGCAGGATAGGGGGCAGGCGTGACACTCCTACGCCCAGGGCAGCTGTAGATTTACGAACAAATGTTTCTGCACACAGAGTGCGGGTTTGATACGGCTGATCGCGACTGCCTCTGCGAAACGTAGGAAACGGACGTTAGAATGTCTTAACACGATTGTACACATTTTGGCTGGATCAAACTGATGACAGTTGGCCAGTAAATGCCTACCTATGGATGAAGCAGGTGGCTTACTTGAATAGATGGTATGAGCAACCGACAATTGGGTGATTTGACCCTGCAACCATTTAGGTACATGTTCCCTTATTCTGGAGTTCAATGATTTATTGGTACAGCTAATGTAGTGTATACCACAACTACAAGAAAATTGGTAAATACAACGCGAGTTGGTGTCAATAGGTTGTCTTTCTGTCATTGGAGTAACAGGTATTCGATTAGTCCGGTTGATTAGAACAGTTTCGGTAGCATAATACATCCTCTGGACTGCGGAAGTTATGCGCTTCCTTGTCCTCGTATTGGCAAAATCTACCTTAAATGGTAGCTTGATGTAGATCTCCTTTTTAGACACCGTCGAAACCTTCTGTCCCGGCACCCTCGCCTGACTATGTTTGTCGATGAATCTACTTGGATAGCCATTTTTCAACAGCGTGTCCTTGAGCGAGTTTCTCTCATCATCTAAACTGTCGGTAGTGTATATTTTCCTTGCACAGTTGAATAGCATCTTGACTAAGTTCCACTTGTACCGCATTGGGGAGAAGCTGGCCACCTGTCATCAGTTTGATCCAGCCAAAATGTTTACAATCGTGTTAAGACATTCTAACACCCGTTTCCTACGTTTCGCAGAGGCAGTCGCGACCAGCCGTATCAAACCCGCACTCTGTGTGCGGAAGCAGTTGTTCGTAAACCTACGGCTGCCCTGGGCGTAGGGGTGTCACACCTGCCCTCCACCCTGTTCTAACTTGTTCCGGTCTCACCTTACCTGTCGTCGTATATATTTTCATGTTATTGTGTTGACACTGAAGAGACAGTACGAAACGTTGACATCTGCCAGTCTTCATCTTCTTACGGCTTTATTCTTCTTTTTCCGTCCACTTTGTTATCTGTTGCTAAAACATTTCATTCCATTGCGGAATAAGTAGTTTGCTTTTTGTGAGACAAATCCGAGTTATTGCACCATAACCTCACTCACCTCCTCGTCCAAATCTTGCTGGAGGCGGTCAATAGCTCTTGCCAATCGTCTTCTTCTGGCCAACATTTCGCCGTCATATCTAGGAGTGACAGTGTATCTGGCCCTTGCTTTATCATGTAGCTGTTGGGTGATCTACAAAGTGGTGGGTAAAAACAAGTGTGATGCACTTTATCAGTTTTTCTTTACTCAGCGGACGATATTCCTGTGTGTTGTATTCATACGACACGCTTACCCGCACGGAGTCCTGTATTAGCTCCAGTTGCGTGTGTACCTTCTTCCACTGACGAACACGTGCATCTCTTTCTCTGGTCAATTTGGCAAGCTCCTCTGACAAATCCTTGCGGGTCTGTTCGGCGATGTGAATGCGCTGAAGGTAGCGCGCCCTATGGGAGGTGTCACATTAACACACTGTTAATACTTTGGATACTGTGGTGGGAAATTAAGAGGTTTCCCGGCCTCACCACCAGCCATAACACAATGGCCCAGGGACAAGTATGCATCCAAGTAGAAATGACTATATTCTAGTTGAACAAAACTCTGTCGCATTATGTCAGTGCGAAGCTCTCTGGAATCCATGTGCCTCGTTTAAGTCAACCTTGAACTTTGTGCGTTGTTAGTACAACAAAGCTAAACAACATGTTGACTCTAACCACTTCATGCGCTCTGACTTGATGGCTCGAGTCGATCAGGTGTGGACACTGCCCTTGCCACTGCTCTAGTCACGCCGCTATACAGCCAAGATGGACAGTGTTCCCTGGCTCTCTCGGACAGTCTCCTGGCAGTTCTTCCAATATATCTTGATCGACACGAGCAAGAGAAAGAGTATACACAGAATGAAGTACTTGACCTTGGAATTCTGTACTTAAGTTGTTGATTCAGGGTCAGCGTGACTAGATCCTTGGTAAGCACAGTGTCTACACACCTGATCGACTCGAGCCATCAAGTCAGAGCGCATGAAGCGTTCCATCCCATCTACCGCGTACCCAGATGCCACACAAGAGCGGTCTACTGGCACCAGCAAAGGCGATCGCCTTCAGGCTTCATGACCCTGACCTATATGTGCACACAAGAAATTTGTCTTGGCACTAACTCTACCCTGGTCCCCTGTAACGCGGGCACATAGTGTGGACAACACCACACGCACACACACACGCACACACACACACATACACACACAAACTGTTGATCGCCGTGGGGCCAATCGCCTAGCTTGGTCACTCAGACCATCTGGGTTTTGAACCTGTACCCTTAGCTGATGTTTACGTTCATGTCATTCATTTGTGGTGTGTTAGCCTGATGAGAAGCCGCTTAAAACGAACTTGTTCGCTAACATTTGTTCTGACCCTAAATTCATTGCGTGACCAATCCCAAATCAGCTAATAGCATCCCACCCTGTGCACTCATCTGTCATACTATCGGCTGATTTGAGAATAGTCATTCAACGAATAGTACGGTATTTTTAGGAGCTTTTGCCTCCGTTGCATACAATTTACTGGCTTTAACACTAGAAAGACCGCTCCGCCGTTATACCTAGAACGCCCGGGACCGGTCAAAATGACCGCACTGCTATATTTTTTTTATCCCAACTTTCAGTTAAGAATTTTTCCACGGCATTTATTAAAAACTAATGTATAGAACATACCTGTAACAGAAAAATGATTGTACTGTTTGGTTTTTTTCAAAAATTGTAAACAATTCCGTATACCTACTCCAATTTACAATTGAAGCAAGTGATAACTCGCTCAATCTGTCCACATGAGCCGCAGACTATTTTTTCACAAACAGAGCACTTGTTTTGTGATTTGTTACCTTTACAGTAACCAAAGTGACACTGCCGACGTTTAATGTTCACACGACTTCCCGACTCCGCTGAGTTGTTCGTCGTAATTCCCGTTGTCACGTACCTTGTGTGATGTATACATGTAAGCAGTTCTTCCGAAAGATCCACCAGATACGACCGGCGAGACATTTTAGTCCCGCAAACACTGTTATAAATTATCCAGGAATTTATGCCAGTCAAATCCAGTGCGTTGAAAAAGACTTGGGCTGGCCATCGTCGAGACGATGACTTCACAGTGAGTGCTCTTGTCATTTGGTCGAGTACATCCACACCATACTTCGTGGAGTTGTAAAACAACACAGTCTCGGGTTTCTTCTTTCCAGAGTCTTGAACGGAAGAGTTACTATGCAGGGAACTGAAAACCAACACACTCTTATTCCTTCAACACTGGTAGGATGTTAATGTGTGCTTATTTTCATTCCTCATCATAAGTGAACTGAACAGCTCTCTATTTCTTTGCTTCAAAATCGATGGTACTTCCTTTCTATTAGCTCGAATAGTTCCCACCATACTTGTGTTTTTCTTGGCCAGCATTTCTCCTAATGCTGCCGATGTAAAGAAGTTGTCATATGTGACATTGTACCCCTTTCCAAATAATGGTGACACCAAGCGCAATACCACGCTCTCTGCAAGACTTTCTCCTCTTGACCGAGTTTCGTCCTTCCCGAGATGTGGAAATCCATTAACGAGATACTTGCTGTCTACTTCTGCCAGCATCCAGAACTTGATACCGAACTTATCTGGTTTGTTGGGCATGTACTGGAGAAAACGACAACGGGTTTTGGAGGGAAACAATTGCTCATCAACTGTGAGGTTCTGCGCAGGCACATAGCATTGTTGAGAGTTGCGAATGAATGCATTCCACAATTAAGATACCAAAGCAAACTTATCAGTTAGCAGTCTTTCATATCGGGTAGTTCGCATGTCAAAACGGAGGAACCTCATTATTTCTTTGAAGCTGTTCTTGCCAGTTGTCTCCCTGAAAATAGGCAGTCCATATCTATCGCACCACATCATATTCAACGGCATGTTCTTCAGACCCATGAAGCCTCTGATGTAAAGTAGACCAATAAAGGCACGCAGCTCTGGAAGACTTACGCTCCACTGACAACTGACACCTAAAACTCTCTTGGCCTCAGCTTCAATACATACTTGAATATGTTTCAGCATCTGGGGCGTGATTATGATGTCAAAAGTGCTCGATAGCTCACCATATTTCACACATTTCTTAGCATAGGGAGTTGGTCCTGGTCTAGCCTTAAACACATTCTGTGATGGAATCCTACCAACAGTAGATGTTTCGAACTCCACTGCGATTCACGTGCTACCATCTTTCGATACGTGAAGCTCACCGGGAGATACCGAATCGGTTGATACACTCTCTCTAGGGTCCTCATATGGAGTGTAATCATCAGACGTTTGACTATCAGACATGCTGTGTTTTTCTGCGGACTCATGAAAGATGGAGTCCTCATCAACATCATAATCGTTCTCGTCTACAGATTCGTTGTCATCGATGGTTGTAAGTTCTCGTAAAACCTCAAAGGCTGTTTTCCTCAGAAGTGCCATTGTGTACAAAAATGTCACTGGAATTTATCTGACTGAACGCACAATATCACAGTAAAATCGTGATTCGGCTAGTTTTCACTCCCGTTTTGACTGCTATGGTATATAACTGTCAGAAATGATAGTGGTGGCTAAAAATAAAAAGAGGAACCGGATTAGAGAGAAGCGGTCATTTTGACCGCTAACGGGTTTTCTAGGTAGTATGAACACAGCTACCGCTTTTCTCGAAAACTATAACAGATATGAAAACGAAAATTCACAGTAATGAAGAACGTCCAAAAATATTAAAAGTCACGAAATATCTTTGAAAAATGTCCATAAATGTAGAAAATATGCACATTTAAAAACGCCCGGAGCGGTCAAAATGACCGCTCCGGGCGTTCTAGTGTTAAGAATCATTTTGATAGGCGTGCAGAGGAACACGATTTCCTTAAGGTGGAGTTTGAGAGCGTTATAGATGCGACTGACTGGGAAAAGGTATAGTGCATGGATATTTGCCGAGTGAGCAGTTATCCGGTCAGTTGATACACATTGTACAGCTGTTACGGTTTTTTAGACATTGTCAGGCTTTCTATACTCATTGTCACTGCCAACCCAAAGGCTGCGTGCTTTCTATCAGCTGTCCGCATCCGCATGCGCGTTTTAACTAAATAAATGTTTTACTCTCAACAACGCGAGACACGCCTACACAGTCATGATCACGGTGATACAAGCACTAAGGATTGGTAAATGTGAATAACGGTACAATTTTATCAGTAGAGCCTATGGATCCATGTGATAAGTGCATAGGAATCTATATAAGTGAGAATTGGGTGGCTCTGTTGCTTGCATTTGTAAATATGACGCTGTATTTGTGACTGAATTCGATCAGGCCATCAAAGTGAGAATGGATGAAATGAAATCTGCGTATAGGATGACTGACCTCCGTGGATTGGGTAATATCACCTAGATACGCAAAATGCAATGACTTTAGTCAGTGGCGAGTCACATTCACCACGTCGCAGTAGTGTAGTCTATCGCGCAAACGCATTCGGTTCAACCATTTTGAAATACATGAGCAATATGTTGTACATAATGCCCATTAACATATATGGTGTGCCTTCCTTCCGGCTAATGTCCTTTGTTCGGCGCTGCGATACACCACCCTCTAGCCATTGTTTTGTCACCCCTGTCAGCAGTGGTTTCGCACTCGTTAGACGGTAACTGTACTCCAGCCTTTATTACTCTATCCAGCAACGATCGAACCAGTCTCGCTTTGCGCATATGAAGTGCCAAGGGGTTTGATGCAATTGTGTTTCACGTCAACGCAAGCACAACACGGAGGAAGTTGGGAGAAACCAAATTTAACGCTTCTTTTACCCAACATCATTCTTTCGTCCATATGGATGCCAAGTGAGTGACAAGGGCTAAAACACATACTTTTCAGTCCGATTCATCATTTCCATTTCATACCACGAGTCGTTAAGTTTCGTCGTTTTGTCAAGTAGCTGCTTTTTGTCCACGTTTGCCAATCGTGTTGCTTCCAACTGCCTAGTAACAAAAACGGAAGAGCAAACCAATCCTGTTTTGAAAAGGAGCAGCCGAACGCACGACTGACATATGAAAGCGAAGAGAATTATTGGCAGATTATTTCAAAGCACGAGCGCGGAATCAGGCTGGTTAAATGACTTGGTCTTTTGGTCTCGCTCCCGTCAACAGATCAGGACACGGCCAAATAGATTTCATGAACAGACTTACTCTCTGTCTGATCTTTCTTGGGCGTCTGTATCGCGCACCCGCGTCTCCAGCATGGATTGTGTTTGAGAAAGTTCAGTGTATTCCTGCTGCAGGTTTTGCAACTCCTTTTCTGCGTTCCTAAAAATTGTGTAGTTCGAAATGTATGATACATGTTTGTATGCATGCGTACATGGGTGTCACGACAGGGCAAAAGGAAACGAACTCACGATCTATATTTGCGCGCCTTCTCGGCCTCTTTTGAGTACTGACCGGGTAGGTCGGTGGCAATCACCCATTCAGCCTGCACAATTTTAAGGAGGAGGTAAAAGTGAGAAAAAAGAGACATCAGCAGTACGCCAACACACTTTACCGACTCTTCACCAATTTAGTTCAGATGCTACCTGGCTGCGCTCAAATTGTGAGATCAAAGGCATGGATCCCAATTCCCCGAAACTTAAAATGTCTACACCACCCCACAGACACTAGATACCACCTGCAAACAAGTTTCCACTAGTTGGTGATTGTGGCCTTACACATTGTGGCTCTCCGAATAATCCGAGCGCTGGAACGACTGAGGATTATGAAAAGTCATGGAAATATTTCCCTTAAATAATTTCAACAACGCAAGGGCAATCAACATTTAAGTGGAATAATTCGAATTCAGTATATTTCGTGTATTCTCATCATCCGCTTACATACAATGGAATAAAACTTCAAACGGTCTGGAATGACAGGTCAATAGCAGAAATCGACGGTAAGCTGTGCTAGCGAAGCCGTCGCACCCTACCAATGCAAAACAATGGTGGCCACAAACTGAAGCTGCTTGTATTTCTAAGGCTCCAAACGCCGGGTGACAGAAACTTCAGCAGAACGCTGGTGGTAGCTAGATCCTGACAGATCGTCTACCCACTGATGCTACTGTCGTGCCATGGCGTCATGTCCTGGAAGCCTCTTTCTAGCGACAGCTGGGTGGGAGTTGGGTTACACCCTTCTCTCTGCTAAGGTCCGAGATACCAATCCATATGAGTCAGTGAACTCACCATGTGCTATACCCGCTGGCTTTCGGGTGTATATTTAATCGAACGCTTTGGCTGAGGACATGAGTCGTTCTCCTGTCAGGTGTGGGCGCCCTGCCAGTATCTTCTTCCATCCTTTTCGGCGGTTCGGAAGTGGTCGATGGCCCTCTTCCCGTAAAACCTAGCCATGGGAGAAAATAGGTCTACAGGTTTTAAGCTCCCTGCTCCATTGACGTAGAGCACGAGCACCACGCATTGTCTCTGATGGTGGAGGGGCACCTCCGAGTTTTCAATGGTTTGCTACTGCCCGCCACAAGCCAGGCAGCCCCTGATCAAATTGGTGCAAACACGCCAAAACCCACTTGCGTCTGGCCGTGGTCGCAGGTGTATCCTACAACGGTCGTAAAACATATGCGTATCGTTCCAGTACCTCAAAGGCTGCGTGTGACGGTCGTCAAGCAGAACCCATTCTGTCTCTGCAATCACATTCCCGAGCTGGATCTGCTCCCCACTGCCTTGTGGGTCAGGCTATTGAGTCAAAGGCTCTGGGAGGAGTCCCTCAAGCACACCGCTGAAGGACAACTGCCACCTCGCCTGCGAGTGCCCACCAGTGAAATCGTGCGCCTGCGCTCAAAGCACTCAGAATCGTGCGCTGGAACATGCGCACACTACTAGACCGGAACTCGAGTGAGCGCTTTGAGCGACGCACTGCACTGATCGCGATGGAACTGGTGTACTACAACATCCATATTGCGGCGCTCAGTGACACTTGGCTTGCTGAGCAAGGTAAGTTGCATGAATCAGGTGTAGTCTACACGTCCTACTACATGCGCAACACCACTTCAACACCACTTGAACGTGGGGTCGGATTTGCCATATCAGATCGCCTCCATGGCCAGCGGGTGGGCGAACCAACAGGCTTCAGCGCGCGACTGATGACTGTTCGCATACGACACGGCAGAGGTAAGTGTGTCGTCCTGTTGCCACGGAGGATCAATACTACACTCAGCTATCCTCCGTGATACGGTCTGTGCCGAGCAGCGACCGACTATTTCTGCTGGGTGGTTTCAACGCGCGCGTTGTGCGTGCTTCATTGGTGTGGACAGACGTTATCGGTTCACAAGGCATTAGTTCAGTGAATGCGAACGGCGGCAGTCTGGCTGGGCCGCAATCCACTCCAGATCGGATGGACCCACTGTTTGAACCTAGCGCAGCCACGAGAACTGTGCACGCGGTCCCCTCACCAAACGTTAGCTGGAGTCATTAAAGGTGAGCTGGAGGATAACAGACAGGTAGGCACTTGTTAACATTCGCATCAAGCGCAGCTTCACCGGGGATATTAATCGACAGCAAACACGTAAAATGCCAAAACTCAGCACGCATGCACACATACATACAAACTGAAACGATGACGCAACACGCGTACCGCACAACATGAGTTAGTAAACGGAGTGCAAGCGGACACAGCGTACTTACGAACACTGCACTGTTGCCGATTAGCTAATTAGCTGACTCGTCTTTTGGATTCTGGTCCTGCGCGGCCATGCTGGTGGCTCACTAGGCCCATATGGCTCAACCACCCGCGACAGCATGTGCGCTCGATGTCCATAGGTTGCAGTCCATGGGCGCCTACCGCCTCCGCATGCAATACTGCTCCTCTCGTACCTGATAACGGCTCTGTTGATTAGTTCACGTCATTCGCGCCCGTAAACGGTCACCGCATTCTGGCATCTGAAATCAATATCAGTTCGTAATAAATACACCTTGATCATGTCCTGGTAACGTAACTTTAGCTTTCCCACGTGCCGCTTCCCTGAACTTACTTTCCATATTACAGCTGCTTGGTTATCCGCGTCGAATCCATGCCGCTAATACGCTCAACTCACCTCAGATTCCGCAGCAGAAGTATGTAGTCCACTGCATACATGCCACTGCGAGGCAGAACCTATGTGTTTGCCCTTGAGACTCTACTAGACCGCGGTAATAAGGGTCACAAGCCGGTTCGTCTAGGCCGCTGGTACTCGCGGCTACTAAACTACGACTACGAAATCAGATACCAGTTGGTGCTAACTAGGTGGCCGATGCCTTTTCCAGGCTTCTACTATTACAGGAAGGGGAGAAAAACTGCCTAGATGGGGTGGAAATGATTTAACATCTCTCAACCGGCGCATCCTCTGCTATAACGCCCACCAGATATGCGAACATAATGACGGAGATCTCAGCCTGGTGAAATTTAAAGATTATGTGCTTAATCCGTGGCCTAGACACATTAGCATCCAGCCCGAGTTACTGCCATGCTATACCCTTCGCCACGAGTTTTCCACAGTGGTAACTTGCTTTATGAGCGGCGAGCAGCTTGTGATTCTTCAGAGTCTTACTCCAGCAGTGATCGAATGCGTGCATGAAACTCATCCTGGTATTGTGCGAACAAAGACCCAAATGTATGACTACTTTTGGTGACTGAAGATAAATTCCCGTGTTGAGGCTGATTTTCGGAAGTGCAATGTTTACCAACATTCAGATAATAGCAGGAGGCTCTTGGAAGCTTCAAATCAACGCACTGAGTATCCCATGTAGTCCAGAGCAAATATCACTATCGATATTATTGGTCCAAATGTCAACAACCACCTCAGGTTGCCACCTGTTTCTATAGCAAATGGCAGGAAGCTATCCTATGAGGAGACGTAACGATAAGTGTCATTATAAAGTGGCTACGGCATTTGTTTCAAGCTAGTAATCCTTAATGACAATGAGCGCCAGCTTCAAAGTTGCGTGTGAGCAGAATCTCTTCGGAGCAATGGCATAAAAAGCGCCAGAACGGTGCCTTATAATCCCGCTACTAATGGACTAGATGAACGGCTAAAATGCATATTGAAAGAACTTATACAATTCCTTCAGCTCTCGGAGGAATCTTGGGAGTACGCATTGGAGTCAGGTTTGGCTGCATACAGAACCACAGCGCATACGGCAATGGCAAAAGCTCCATCAGAAACGATGCCGGCTAAATGCAGTCTGTAAATTTGCTGAAACTACTGACCCTACTGAATCTGCATGGCCAGATGCTTACTGTTGCGGGCCCGTCAAATATCCCCACAAAAGAGTGCCACAATCTCCGACTTAATGGCTGTGGAAAGCGGTTCAATTCCTTCACCCAACATAGCAGATTTCCGCCACTCCGAGACGCTGCACAACTGCGCACATGTTGACAACGTTGGTTTAGAAACTACCGCCCCGTCGCGGTAGCTATTTTCACTAACTTAATGACCCATAGTTTTGGCTGTGATTCGCCTTTTGTTGGTCGTAAAAGCGACTTCAGAGGACCACTTGTCCGGCTTTCTCTTCGCCGTTAGTTGGCAGTCGGTTAGGTCACGTGATCTTTGCGTGCGTCGATAGCCGGGCATCCTTCGCGTCTAAGCCACTAGCACGTGTCTACTGTCACCGCACTCGTGTGCGTAGCCTCGTCCGTTACTAAGGCCCGGCGTCTACCCGAATACGTGCGGCTAGGATCGCTCTCAAGCTAGCGCGATGTCCGCCTCACCAGCGTGCACCCAGGGCTAAGCTAACGCCATCACGTCATCGCAAATACATTTGATCGGCCAGCGTTCCAAAGCCGTTATCGTAGGCGTGCTCAAACCATGCCGGTGACAATCGTATCAGACTCAAATTCCTATCAGAGGAGTCTCCCAATCTTAACACTTACCAAGTTAAATACGGGCGAATTGAAAAAATACCCCAGGGATCGTATGTTAAAAACTGCCCAGCTCTCCGAGAGGGTATAAGAAATCCGGAACTCCTAAGTTGTAGAATATGTTTGTGCCAGCACCATACAAAATGACAGATGGAACGCCGGTTAAAGCAAGACGCTTGCATACGACACTCTCCCAAATTACTTCTCCGCGAGCAACTACATAAACGGCAGAAACAGACCGAACGGTAGGAATTTTGCGAGTATCAAGCCGGATGCGTCGCCTTGTCGACCGGTATATTTTTATGAGCAACACAAACTGATGCATGTTTCAGTGTAAACACCCTGTGCATTCAGCCACATAGACGTTGACATGAAGTGAGTAGATAATTATAAACAGAGGAGGAGCAGTATTTTGTTCCTAGGTTACGCACTACACTCGTAACTAGAATTTTACTTGCCATTGATTCATCAAGACTCAATACGTTCACTTAATGGTCATTGGACGTGGGCATGTACTGGCTTCTGATTGGCTACGCTGTCCGGGAGGAATGGCCTGTTTCAAACTGCTGTTTACACAGTGTCCATATATTAGTTTACTTCACTGAGTTACTGTTCTGATATCACACAAAAAACAGCAATTGCCTCAAGATATGGGGCTTCATACCAATTATCATGCCCGACTGACCTTCACATCACTCATCCGCCGGTTCATGTTAGCCAATTCTGTTTGCGCTTCGTGTTCCAGATCAGCCGCCTGGCGCAGTTGTTCTCGTGACCGTTTGGCCTCCATCTTCAACATGTCAATCTCGAGCCACAGATCTTGGCATTGGTTCTGCACCAATTTGACTCGACGTTCCATTTCCTGTAAAGGTTGAATCAAATGTTTGTTTTGAATCCGTTCAGTGGTAATTAAGACACATGATACATGAAATGGATGCACTTGTTCCGTGTCAGCGCTGTATACAAACAGTCTCTACGTGACAGCAAGATGATGCCTCAAGTATGCGAGAAACATTGTTTCATTTTTGACACAAAGACGTCTTGGTACCAAAAGAATGATCAGTATGGGAAGTTTTGGACTAACACTGTGAACACTGCCAATTATCGCACTACTTATAAAAGCAGCTGCATATCTAAACAATCGGGATATGTCGGACTTAATCTGCATCACCTTAGGCCTCTCCCTGGTTTTCAGAAGTGGGATAGTTTATAAATTTTCTAGCAAAATACTCGTTAGCTGTGATCTGACTGTAATAATAATATGGCTACTCATTGCATACAATCAGATGATCACCGACGTGGTCCTTTCACCACTGAAACGTTCGTGAGGAAATCCACATTTCGTAAATTAAAACAATGGTTCTTGCAGGAGCCGAGTTACGCGGAATTCTCGACTTCCGTCGCCATGATAGCTGCTTCTTACTATCATTTCTCACAGCATTTAGTTCTGTTGTGAATCAGCTCACATATGCGCGCTCACAGAACTTGTGTATAGTTCTAAGGGCATACAACAAACAGCTTCAGCACGTACAAGCTGCCACAATTGCTCGTTATGTCCAAATTGAAAAACATATTTTCCATATGCATGTACAGCAGAGGCCTCTGTGTTAAAGTCTGAGGACTGTCCACCAAATATTTGGAACCGTACGAGACTTGAGAACTCGCAGGAAAGGGTAATTTATGCTAATTCCAAGTATCTGCGATAAAAGCGTTTAACTTGATGGAAGGAGAGTTTGCGATAAATCGGAATACTTGTACTTCGGGCTGACTGTGCTGGTTTTCGTTTGTTCTCCCATCGATCAAAAGCCGACGACGCACTCAATGAGCTTTACGCTAAGCAATGAGACACTGATGATGTCACCTCGGCTGGTGACGAAACGTCTGCAGCATAATTCCTCACCTCGGAGAACAAATGAAAACCAGAAGGAGAGTTATTTGCTTAAACCATGCTTTTTCCTCACTAGCAAGAGTTTAATAGTGGGCCGGATGTTAATCGACTAAGAGTAGTTTGTATACAGGTGGACACCAAATGAAACGAGTGGGGCCATATTGTGGGTTTGAATAACAAGGGCTGTGGTCCCAACGGGTCATAAGAGGTCATTTTACGTTGCCCTGACCTACACCTATTCACTGCTGCCCGTACTAAATTGGATATCCAACTACACCCATTCAATTCAGGATGTGTCAATATGGTCAGTCATCGAAACCTAAGTCGCCTTCCCTTCTAACGGTTAAGGTGTTTACCAACTAAACTCTCTACTATACCTGTCAATGTGTGCACCCTCCGTCCTGACACGCATAAGGGCGACATTTTATAATAGTGTCTTCATTGACGCTTTATCAGCTGGGACAAGAGTCAATTTGGTCGAGTCCTGTAATCCTGATGGTCTGCTTGAATGGTGTCCTTGAATGACAATTTTGCATCTCAATCGGTGCACTATCCCAAGGTCTTAACCAATAAGCCCCATCATTTTTATCACAATCCGGCTCATCGGCAGGGCTCAAGTCTTACGAGATTTACTGGGGCATACAGTGTCATCGGGTCCCGACAAGATGAAGCGTCCACTCAGTCGCTTCCTTGAAACCTGAAAGAGCAGATTTCACGGTAGTGCCAAGTTTTCTTTAAAACACAATTGACAAGCTGTTAGTTGGGCTATTAGGGACGTAATTCGGTCAGTGTAAGTTGGATACTTGGATGTCATTATCTCGTTGATTCAGACTGGACTCTGCGCCCGTGACTCACGTCGGTGCACTAACTGTGACCAACAAATGCTTTAACTAGAGGAGTAGCTGAGTTGCATTATTTGTGTACCATCTTGGCAACGCACACTCGCAGTAGCTAAGACATTGTTACAGGAGCGATAAAAGTGCAGGTAAATGTCCGTATTTGTTCATAACTTTATGCTTCCGTTTTGTTGCAGTAATATACCAAAGTTTCTTTTAACCTATCATTAATTTAATCCTATTGGCCATTTAGGGTCGCTGGTTTTACTTTCGAATCGCAGTCTTACTCTGTGTGGTCATCTGATTGGTTCCTTATTATACTCGGTCCGTATTGGTTTTGTGTACTCACACGCTTATAACGCTCCGATTGCTTTTTACATTTACACGTCAAACTACATAACGTAGTCTTTTCTCTAGATCAAAGAACCGCTGAAGCTCGCTCCTGCTCTTTCGTGCTTTCACTACCGTTAGTGGGTGGAATCAGTCGCGGGGACCAAAACAACAGCTATGTGCTATCCGCGATCGACTATTCCACTTATTTATTAAAGTGGCACTTCTCCAGACAGTTTTCTGCGACATGCTGGCAATGGAATAGTTTGGCAAATTTTTCTCGGGGCTTTGTATTTCTTGATCATGCTTTTACGCGACTTTCAACGAACACCCGTCGGGTGTATGCCGTTGTTCACTCTTAGAAGCCTCGTACGCTTCAGCCTCACTAGTCTTGGGCCAACCTCACGGTCCTGTCCATATGCTGTCTCTAATGTGGTAGCAGAGCAATTAATTACGAAAGTTGGGCAGTCAGTTCAAGCGTCGTTTGTTACTTGGTAGCATAAAGATATATACGCGGTACTTCATATTATGAGTTGCACATACGTTGAGAAGGACGTAGTAGTCCTTCTTAGTGGTTCAGAATAACTTCATACTCTAGCAGGATACCTGATGTCTATTGTGAATAGTAAACTAACTTCGCCATCTTACCGTGAATATGTCCACATCATCGTCCATTGCTTCAAGCTGTGCAGAAAAAGACAGAAGTGAAGTCGTTAGCGTTGAAGAGGAGAAAATATTATACATCAGAATGCAACGGAGTGAATGATATGCATGCCTCGACAGATGGTCCGGATAATAATACCGATATCTACATGGGAATGAGAACCAGTGGCAGTACACCGGTACGCAGTACCGACGCTTCACTGCCGCGTAACCGCCACCAGTCGCACGTGGGCTAAGCATACTGCGAGTGTCGGCGGGCCCCTAAGCAGTCTCCAAACCGTGTCCTCGGACCACGAGGCAGACTTGTGACCCTTAAGGCTGCGTAACAGCGCGGGAATGAGATTTGAAGCATGTTCTGCAGGAGACTCGACTTAATGCCTATTGCAGCGAAAATGACAATACTCACTTCTTCGTGCTTCCTTCTAGCCAGTCATTGCTTGGTAACGTCGGCTAAAAATGGCTGTTGTTCACAACAGTATGAAATTGCCACAGCTTATGTTGCGAAATCCAACGAATAAAGCACGGTGCGTATAAAAATCATCTCTGGGGTCCGCTTGTACATGCTAACCATTGTCCCTCCCAAACAAATCGAACGGGCTATTTGGAATGTTGCCCAAACACGTGGAATGTGGAACACTAGTTCTCAGTGAAATTTTTTCTAAATATTTCAACACCGCTTAGTATGGGACGTTTAGGGAAATTGTGAAATCGCGTACTTACTGGTGGTCTTCCGCATCGCTGTTTTGTTTTAAAAAGAGAAGACTCGTGCTTACGGTGGTCGTATAACCCGCTTGAAAACCACGAGGCAAGTCCTTCTAGGAAAAGATGGCTTCCCAGCAGTCAGTATAAGCGCATGGTAAGAAAATATAGGCAGTCCAAATTTTTGGACATCCACAGATTAACAGATCATGGCAAGCAACTTCAAACTAACCCGGGAATCGTAATACAGTTAACTCCGTCAACTCATTCTTTGGACTTAGGTCTATTTCACTGATCCACCGAGATCCGCAAGAAACACTTGACACAGCTCTTCGCATCTTCAAGGAGCAAAGTGATTTGCAGAATCACCAGCCACTTTATGATCCCTTGGCCCTTGACGGTGAGGAACTCGAGGTGGTTGATCACTTCACTTACCTTGGAATCTGCATCAGCAACGAGGGGCGCATGATCACTAAAGTCAAAGCACGAATTGCAATGGGAGTGAGACTTGGTTCCTTCGAATTGAAGATCTGAGTCACCTACAGGTCTGATGATTGCTATCTGCGAAGCATTGCTGGTGTTTGATAGCACCGTGTTCAGAACCATGGTGTGCCTAGGTGAGTGCTAAGTAATGATACCCAAGATAGTTCCTTAAAACTACAGCTAGCACTGAATAAGTTGTGTTGGCTTGGTCACGCGCTACGTATGCCCGGTCACTTTTTACCGGGGAGAGCCTCATTTTGTTTGCCAGATGTAGGGTGGCGCAAGCCTCCAGGTGGAAAGAACTTGACGTGACAGCAGAAAATGAAGTCACTGACGACCAAACTGGGTGACTGTGATAGGCACGTGTTAGACTTTACACTGTGCCAGAACCTCCGAGAACCATTCAAAGCCCTTAGAAGGCAAAGTGCTCCTAACCCGCTCCGGTTCGCTGAGGTTGCTGCCATCCGGCGCTTAAAGTCTAACCTATGCAAGCGACTGGAACCTGTGACCAATTGTGCTCTGTCGTGATACGATGTAAATTTTTGTAGGGGCACTGCCATAGCCGATTATCGACCATTTGTACTGATTCCGTTTCACTTCGGTTCGTTTCAAGTTTCACTATTTGCATGTAGGCGGCTGATTGAGAATACGCGAAATACACTGAATTCAGAGTATCGCGCTAGCTGAAATGTTTTTCCTCCTTGCACTTTTATATTTCTTAAAGGGAAATGGTTGCATGAAACTGCTTGCCATTGGCTGTCTGTTTAAAATGTTTTGTGTTGTGCTATCTGCGGGGTAATGACTGATTATGACGCGGGGAATTGAAAGCCTCAAGGAACCTGTTGCGCGGATGCCACCATATCTGCACCACGAGGTACAAGAGCCTTGACCCTGCAGGCTTGCTTAGGGCATTAACGTTTTACGCCCAGTCCATCTTCTCCCTCTTATTATTTTCCGTTCCCTAGGCCATCATGGTTGTACAGCAGCGAAGTATCCGTTCAAACGACGGATGTACTGCCGATGGTGATTAATATGATGGTGGCTAAAAATTCCTTGTTTTAGTTTGACGCAGCCACCGTGTTTCGCTGGCGTAATGCAATCTGGATGTAAACCATCAATTACTTGGAAGTAAACTTCACTCAGTCTGATCATTAGGACTTCATTCAATGCTGTCCTCTCTCCCTCTACTCCCAGTGCTCCATAACTGGTTTCGTCTCTGTTTGGACTCTCCAAGGAGCAATGGCCTGACGATTGAAGCGTCTAAGTATTGTTTGTGCTTTTTCCCATTGAACTGTTAAGTTCCACTCCAGGATTGGAAGTCGTCTGCTCCTAAGTTACCATCGAACTAACACAGCTGGAACTTGCGTACAACTTTGTCTACCTCGGAATCTGTATTGCTGCTGAGATCACTATTGAGAAAATGGCATCTCTTCGCATCGTCAAAGTCCGGTCGGCATTTACCAACCTGAGTCATTTGTGGCTTTATCGGGACATATCCCTCTCCCTAAGGTGGAGGGTCTACAATGCTTGTGCCCGCGCGGTCCTGTTGTACGGAAGTGAGTCCTGGCCGATTCGTGGGGATGACATACGTAGGGTTTCGGCTGTCGACAGCACATCTTTGCGGCGGATAGCCCGTGTGTGGTGGCAGCACCGGGTTCGCAGCAGTGAAGTCCGATGTTGCGTCTTGGGAAACATGAGCCCTCCGCTTGATCGCGTTGTCGCAATGCGACAATTGAGGTGGATTGACCACGTTCTACGTAGGTCATACAAGCGCTTGCCAGGCCGAACCTTATTTGCTTGCACGAGATTGAATTGGAAGAGAACGCATGGAGGTCAGCCAACCACTTGTCGTCAAACCATAAATCGCTTACCTCTTGTCCGGCCATCGTCGGCCATGTACGCCTTCCTGGTTGCGGCCCAAGGATAAGGACTGTGCACACTACTGGACCAGGATTCGAGTGAGCGCCCCGAGCGACGCACTGCAATGGTCGCGATGGAACTGGCGCGCTACGACATTCATATTGCAACGCTCAGTGAGACCCGGCTCGCTTAGCAAGGTAAGATGCATGAAACTGGTGCCGGCTATACGTTCTAGTACGTGGGCAAAGCCTCCTCAGCACCACGTCAACATGGGGTACAATTTGTAATATCCAGTAGCCTAAATGGCCAACTGGTGGGTGAACGAACAGGCATCAATGCGCCGCGGACGACTGTTCGCCTAGAACTCGGAAGAAGATAATTTACCACTTTTATAAACACGTACTGTCCGACAACGTGTCATCCTATTGACACGGGTGATCAATTCTACACACAGCTATCCTCCGTCATACGGTCTGCGCCGAGGATCGACCAAATATTTTGTTGCTGGGTGACTTCAACGTGCGCGCGTTGTGCGTGATGCTGCGATGCGAACAGATGTCATCTGTTTGCAGTGATTTACATCCACATCACTTTGGTTCAACCTGTTCTAGCGGACACAGTCGATGCTGTGAGAGAAACGCGGAACACAGGCGTTGTCGCCAAACATCCTCGGCAATACGACACCGATCTCTGAGGAAATTTTGATAAAGTGATTTTTATTCCAACCACCTGGTACAACAGGGTGAGTGGAATGGGAATACGGTAGGCCTGGGGATGCAGTGTTTGAAGTGAAGCAAACATACGGTTTAGCGTAATACCACTGCTTAATAGTGTGTATTTTTGACGATCACACGGCCGCAGTATAAAATAAATAAAAATTTCTGTTAGTTATACGCCGTAACGGTACTTCGCTGCCGCACGACCAGCCCAAGTCGCTGGCGGGATAAATATACCAAGAGGACGCTCACGCCTACCCGGACTGGTACCGGTATCCTTATGATTGTAATCCAGGCGTCCAGACCACTCGGCCACCGGCCGAAGCTACTTCGTGATGAAGTGATATGTCGTTTCACTCAATGCTGAACTACGCAGCCGACTACTGGTAGAAGCCGACTCTATGCGTCAATTTTCTATAAGCACGAAACTTATGTTCAAAAGCGCTTTCACAGAATTGGGTTATGAGCAGTATGGTGTTGTATTATTGTTTATTAATCTCATGAACGATCTTTAAGTTGAAGTGTCTATTAACTCATAGTTAACTTCTGGACGAAATTTGGCTCCACGCAGCCTATCGGCAACGGAGCAATCATTGAAGTGGGTAACCTGGGTCGCAACGTGTCGATTAGTGATTAAATATACCTAACAAAGACGGAAACGGCATAAGACCGCAACGCCAAATAGAAGGCTTAGTCAGGCGGTTATACCATTGAACCCAATAAACGTTCAGAAACAACATACTAGATGCATGACTGCCACCAACCCATGGCTACTCCAAAAGTTTCTAAGCTCTGGCTTGATCTATCCCGTACCCCCTTCATTTAGGTGTTATCACAAGTCCGATTCAATCGCTAATGCCGGACCTCGCTGACTTCAGATATCAAACATGACGTGAGTGGATGCTATATATATATATATATATATATATATATATATATATATATATATATATATATATATATATATAACGCTTGCCCAATAAACATTTGGCAGTGTACCACAATATAAGAGTAACAAGAACAAAAAGGAGAAAGTGAGAGTCAGCCGCATGGATGGAAAGTTCCATGTGCTGTGTGGGCAGAGAGGTTCCCGGTTTCCCAGGCCGAAGAAGAGGGTCGACTTAACGGAGCCCACCCCGAGCCTTTGGTCTTAAAATCTAACCTGCAAAGCAGCGGGGTGATTCACGATGACCGTTGACAGCCAAATGGCTCATTCGCTTTCTCTATGTTCGGAAGTAGTTCACAGAAAAGCCGGTGACCAGCGAGGTTGTTCATCCACCCTGCGTTAGATACTCACCCCGTTACAGCAGTGCGTGGTCAGTGACCCTATGGCCGGTCATACTGGATTTGACACAGCGCCGTACGAGCACTTGTGGTATTTAATGGAGAACCAGGTGACCAGCCCAGAACTCCCCAGGCTCTGGGACGCTGCCGCTGATTGTCCGCGACTGCTTATTCACCTCCCCTGCAGGGCAAACGAGCCTTGTTTGTAGTTACCTCCACAATGAAGGCACTCCCCAATGCGCAACCGACGGACGCGCCCGATAGCATGCAGCTCCACCACGGCGATGTCAGAGGTGTTTCGAAAGGGAAGCGGCTAACGTAAACGATTACCTACATCAGCTGTCAAAGTAGCATCGGACTTGGCGTTTCCACGAATTCAGTTCTTCTCCTCTCCCAAAATTGCTGACGGTTCTGTCTAACGATGCCAGAGGTTTATAGCATTTTGATCCATTGTGTTTACCGATGTTTCTTCCGTAACCTTTTCTCCTCGGACAGAAGTTGAGTGACTAGTAAAGCGCGTCCATCAAACCAGTTCCGTTGCCCGAACATACCACCAAGCATTAGTAACAATCAAAGATGTCTGGGTAAAGGTAATGGACTAACCATCCATCAATTTGAAATACTCCGTCTGAACACATTTAATGAATCCCGCATCTGTTCCGCTAAATGGCATTCTACGATAACTAATGTTCCCTTTTCCAACCCAAAGCTGGTTCTCACTGACCAATTTCGCACTAAAAGGAAACCTTGCACTTTCCTTTTTCGGCCCCATCTTAAGTTAAGCTCACATGTCTTGATCGATCGAGTTAGAGTTGGGTTTTCAACCCCTCTCAATGTACGGATTTTGATCATTCTCACTAAGGTAAACTGAAGAGAAAACCTTAAATGGCTGGTGATAAACAATACACTGCTCTTTCTGTACTCCCTCTATGCGGTACCTATTTCAAAGCTGCGTCTTTCTCATTCAATGCCTTTTTGTCCACTTTTTTATCTGCAAATACTCCTTTGAGAGTATTAACAGCTTATCAAAGTTTCTACAAACCATACACACCTTTTGACACTGACTGATGTCTTTTCTCATCCTTGCAGAAGCGCTTATGAGGTATTTAGAGAGGTGCCATATCCTCGTGCAGGAGCAGCGTGGATTCCGCTAAAACCGCTCATGTACTAGGAATCAATTTTATTCCATGCTAGCTGGACGGAATCCGTCGATGCTGGAGAAGGAGTCGACGTCGCTTACCTTGATTTCTCGAAGGCCTTTGATTGCCGTTGTCACCGGATTCTTTTTCACAAGCTTCGGAGCTACGGGCTCGGTGACTCTGTCCTAGGCTGGATACATTCATCTCTACTCCAACGACACTTGAATGTGCGGGTTCGTAGCACCCTGTCCGACCCAATAAAGGTTCAATCTGGCGTTCCTCAAGACTCGGTACTGGGAGCACGGCTATTCCTCGTGTTCATAAACGACCTCGCGGGAGTGTTAACGTCGAACTTCCTACTCTTTGCGGTTGATCTCAGGATGTGGCGGGCAGTCAAACGAGTAGACGACCACATACCACCACAAGGTAATGTCGACAGGGCTTACGAGTGGTAGACCCAAAATATACTTGAGTTTAACCCTGTCAAGTGCAAAATAATGAGCATACGCCACCACAGCACCTACCAATATCGACTGGGAAAACACGTCCTGCAGTGCGATTCTCCTTAGAGAGATCTTGGGGTGATTGTGCAGGACCATCTCGGATACTCAAAACAGGCAGGGACGGTAGTGAAAAATGCCATTCAAAACTTGGCCTTACTGCGAAGACCTTTTGGCCGGTTTGATCCTACCTTCTTTTCGCAAATAAGCAATGTTTACGTGGGACCGCACGTTGAATACGCCATTCAGGTATGACACCACTGGCAAAACATGACCTCACTGCTCTTCAGAAGTCACAAACGAAGGAGACAAAAATTGTTGAGGGACTGCTCCAACTCTCTTGCCAGTTGAGACTAAGGATTCGAGGGGTTTTTAGTAAGCAATATCCTTCGCATCCTCCCGGTCTTACTCCTTCGAGTTTAGACCGGATATGGGGTGTGCGGATGGAACTATGAGTGGTGCAGCGCAAGCCACCCATTGTCCATCTTGTAGGCACAGGCTTCCAGTGGCTGCCCCCGTGGAGGCCACAGTGACAGTCAAACCCGGATACGGAGGCCGCCACTCCATCCACTTCTGCGGGATTACCATATATTGGTGTGTCAATTCCTCAGGGTTTCTAGTCACCCATTCCGACTTTTATTAAAACTGAGCCATAACATCTAACTGAGAGGACACCATATGAAATCGGCGGCACAGTATAGCCGGTTGGAATGATGCCAGAACTATTTCTCTCTCCACCTATTCCAGCCGTGGAACTTAATTCCGCATTTTGTCACACCTGATCCTACGTTGTCCGAATTAAAAACTCGACTTGATGATGCATTACGTGCTTTAACTCAAGGGACTGGGGAACACGGTAACCTAACCAATCCATGGGTACAGCGATATTTGCGGTAAATCTATCGAAACGCGCTTTTTTGACACAACCATTTTTGATCCTACTCTTCCTACGGAAAACTGTTAAGCGTTTGCTTTTATATCCGTGAGAAATCCATTGTTCCATTAGATATATTAATCGCTGCATCTCTGGTACAACATGGCTGTCATTGTGCACTTAACCATCAGGCTTCTGAGTCACCATTGTTTCATCTCAAATCATTGCGTTCAGTTCGCCTTCCTAACTAAACTCAGTTTACTCTTTCCTATCCGAATCGGCACAGAATAACATGGTTGAAGGTATCCGATTTCGGATCTGCTTGTCACTGCGGCCCCCATAGGACAGCTAAGGGACGTCTGCGACTAAAGAGGGACTAGGCGTGGCTTGTGCTGCACCACTCACAGCTCTCGCCAAACACACCATAGATTGTGTAAATCTGAACGAATAAGACCGGAGGCATGCGGTTGGGAGCCGCGTTTCATCAACGCAGCCCGCCTACACTCCTTCAAGATGCTCAGTAGAAACATTATTGTCTTTCTAATTTGGGAGTCATGTGTGCCAGACGTACACTAAGCTGGATCGTAGCCCGTTCCACACTAGATGCACGTAACCATTCTTTGGGCCTAACACGGTCACTAGGACCGTGCACCCCGTGTACCCAAGTAACGACTAACCGTCTTTTAGATACAGTTTATTCGAGGTAGCGGTATTTTGACAGCTAGGTACCTTATCAACACTCACATCTACAGCAGCCACGCCAGGGACAGCAAACAGCAACTGCATAGTATAAAAGAACATAAACACGCAAACTCTACAATAAGTGTGCGACAGGGTAACAGAACAGAGTAAATGGTAAAATGTGTATCGGTCTGATCTAGCCTAAGGATGAGTTGGGTAAGTGCAAGTGGGAAATATCATCCAACTAACCGAGAAAGAAGAATAAAAGTGCAATATAAAAGTGAATATGCGGAGGATTAACGGAACCGAGCAAACAAACTAAATTGGCTTCAGCCAGATCTAGTGTATTGCGGAAGAAGCGCGGTGAAGAAGCACAAATCTACAACATCAAGGTCAGCATGTGTCTTCAATCGACCGCTGCTGACCAGTGAATTGTACGGTTTCCCACAGGCTGATACGCTATGTTTTCAGAGTAACTATCGTTATTTTATCGCTAGCTCATACAGGGGAGTGTGCAACCGCTTTCATTGGATGCTTGGAGGGAGTCCATGACACTATGTGCAGGAGTTCGGCATTCCAATGGACAGTACAAACCTGTTCACCTCGCTTTCTACAAATTCCTGAAAGTGAACAAGAGCAACTTCAAACCTCTCTTTCCTTCGCACTCAGCCTATGTGCAACACAGCATTCGTCCAGGAAGTCACGTGGGCGTATGTCAGCTGTATGGTGACACAACTGAAACGATCACATAAGCCACAAAGGTAATATCAACGAAGTGACTCTGTACCAAATAGGGACTCACCTCGGCTGTTGGCAGGCGGGAATAGTCCCGATTGAGTAACTTTCTTTCTTCCCGTAGCAGTTGTGCTTCATATTGCATCATTTCCACTCTTTCGTCCGTCTCCATAGCTGTATTGTAGAATGTGAGAATTTGTGCCCTCATTTGTGACGCGTCTGTGATGGCGTTGTCAGGAAACTGATCCGCACGAGCCAACAGTTGTACCTGTTCGTCGATTTCGCCCATGTATGTTTTCGACAGTTGAACTAGATTGAATTCGTTTTCTCTGGTTCTGGGAAATTGTTATCAACACAATTATAGCACAAATAATGTGACTGCGAATTGACGGTCGCTTACAGTTCAGGTATTTTTGGTATGTAGTTTGTACCTTCACTTAATGTTAATGTGAGAAAAATTTCCATCGGCTTTAATGCCTAATTATACTGATAACCTTGTAAATCTTCTTTCCAAAGGCACTAAGCTATGCGAGTCCACTGACAGCATTAGCCCAAATGTTTGTTTCTTTTAGACGACCAGAAAGTGGTGTAACTTCTGTATTCACTGCAGACCTGCGTTTCCAATGGGTGTTAAACATAGCCAGTGGTTCTACGTGTTGTCGCAAAGCGATAACCGCCCACCATACAAGACTTTCAGTGAGGGATCATGTATGGGGTGCTGTGGTGAACTCTCGGGTTGTACGCCTACGCAGTGACCGGGTTACCGAAGTGATTGCAAAGAGATAGGCACGTTTAAAGTTTGACGAACAGTATCAGTTGGAAATCATCGATGCAATTCTGCTATTGCTAACACACAAAAGGGTTTCTCCACAAACACCAACTACCGGATGATGAACACCGACTTATCTCATCCATGTATTCCCGTACAACAAGACCTGGCAAACAATAGCGCTAAATGTCCCCTATTTTAAAGCCACTACAGATATTAAAGGTGGGCAAAGGACGGCCACACATAGAGATTTGCGCTGCGGTATGTTGGAATCTGCATTGCTTTACCGGGCTTATTCTTTCTGCTGTGTTTATAAAGCACCGCCCCTTCAAACCGAAATCTTTTCTGATGAGCGGAACATAAATGTATCTAATACTAATATACTAATATGTAGATAATAATATTAACAAAAATATGTAACAATTTCTTTAATAAGAACATGTATAATAGCCATATGTAATATATATATATATATAATAGGTATAACAATTATATTAGGGATAATAATATCTATAATAATGATAATGCTAAAAATATAATAATACTGCGTATCGGAATATGTAATAATACTAACAATATGTGATAATACTACGTATATTTCTCGGCTGTGCAAAAAGCTTTCCCTGAATGGAGGAAAGATCATCAGTACAGTATTGATCATGCTCATGCATGAGATATGGGACGCGTGACATCAAAGCATTTGGAATCACATAACTTTTGTCGTTGCTGCCTTTTGTGTGACATCTTTTCTCACTGGCCATCTATTTCTTGGTCCATTCTGAAAGAAATCATTTAGTGATGCACCCGGTGGAAACAAGATCATTCACGAGTTCTGGTCCAGGAAATTTCTAAGTTGAAGTCGAACTGTTCTTGCATTTGCGCAAGACCTGATTGTGGCTTGTCGGCTATTTCACACGACAGTGTATCTGATGAGAAAGAAGTTGGATCGAATAGGAGAGTTTCGGTATGGCTCTCTCCGATCCCTTCACTCCACGACCGACGGTTTCGTCTTGGTTTAGACTCATCAGGTAGAGATAGTCTATCTGGGAGTGGAACTCGGCGCGTAGTGCTTGGCGACTCTCGCCATGATCACTAGGCCACTGAGCTCCGCGAGCAGTGTTTGACACAGCTGTCAGAAGTTGATTTTCGGGCTTTGGAGCTTTCCTGGCTCTTGGCACAGTTAGTTTACAAGTCTTGTTGCGTTGTTTTTAAATGAAGTTGTTGCAATTAAAGTGTACACAGATTGGAGTATGGTTTATGAGCTTGTGTATCAGCGGTGCATCCGTTTCAAGTCCGGTCAGGTTGGTTTTACGACGTTCCCTCTCACTCCACATGGCAATGCTTGACCAAGAAGCGAAGTGGCCGCATCTATTCGTCTGACTATGGTGCGTAACCGGCCAGTCGGAAAAGTGCGCAAGGTCAACTAGCTTATTTTGGAGGGTAGAAACACTCTGCCAAGTGGCAGAAAGCAAGTAGCTACGAAGGCTAAATGCGCGCCTACAGAATGTAACCGATTAGTCAAATTTAGTTTACCTTGCTCACAGTGTTTCAAATGGTACCATTAAATATGTGCAAATCATTCCCAACAACACGTGAGAGATGGAACCAGGTCACAAGACGAGCTCTGGTTTTCTACTGCGTGTTCGACCATGCCACTAGTCAAACGCATATTTCTCCTAGGCCAAAAGTGCGACCGGTTAACAGGAAAATTGAATAACGTACGAACGCTAAGGCTGTCTAGCCGAACAAGCTTGTGGTGCCAGCTGGATGGTTCGGGTCTAACCTGTTCCAGCAAATAGTTCGGTGGCAGTATTCCAGGACGTGGTGGGTTTTCGCCTGGCAAGCGTTCTGCCTATAAAAAGCCACAAATATCTGCTTAAAACACTGTGACGTGGCGGTCGTGACTCGCCACAAAATAAAGACACTGTCCCGCGGATATCCGGATAACCCTTTCCAAGCCACGGGCACCAATCTTCTACTCACATTGCTGACGATACCCAACAATCAAGTATGGAGCAGCACAATTACAAGCACAAACTACACAGCCACATGCACACACGCAATTACATAGTTACATTCCCCCCTACACAAACATACACTGTTATGGGGAACATTTCGGATTTTGTACCTTCTTGTACACGCATTGTTATATCAAAATGATCATGCCTTTAAAGGCGTACCTCGTCTTGTGGAGAATAAAAACTTTATTTATTATATCACTGGAAGCGACTATGCACCAGGATATCACAGTGGCTTCAAAGAGAAGCGATTGTGCAAACGTTGCCTAACTTGAACCACGATTAACAAGGTCCACATTGCCGTTATCCTTTTCAATTTAGGAAGAGAAACAGGCGAAAACAGAATATTGTTCTGATAGACAAACAATACCCAGGACCACGAAAATCAGGCACCAATCGACACGCGTGATCAATCAAATTCAGCCGGTCTTGACAACTTGTATCATTAAAAAGCATGGGTCAGACGAACACGAGTTTATTGCTTCCGCAACCCAAGAGTCGCTGGTCGAATACACATCCCCGAGACTCCAGTCACATATGCAGAGATCAACGCAAACTCCTTCGGGATGCCACATCATTTGTTTCCTCTATGCAAACACAGCTAATGCCATTAAAGTAAAAACAGAGGACCATCATCATTTGCATAAAGCCAGGCCCAAAGACCACCCGAACTTGCAGTTCAATAAAAAATGGATTCAACAATAACACCATGACTGTCGTGCGTGCAAATGTCCCCGAATCTACCGCCATCACATTGGGCGGTAAGTGTTCCCGCCTCCAGGACTCATCCACATTTAGTTTGTTGCCGATGATGTTTTGCAGAAGTTGAGGTCTCAGTGCAAACACAGCTAGCCGGGAGTCGACACCACTCGTCAAGATGCACTAGGAGCAATGGAACAATAGTATAATACGGATAAAAGTGGCCAAGGCTTGATAAGTCCCATGTGATGGTTTGTAGGAATAACATTAGTCCAAATAAGTTACGCAAAAGTGAAAAACGCATCTGTGGACTCACCATATTATCCACGTTCACACATAGGTATATCCCTCTAACCCGATTTCGTGGGGTTGGTGAGCACAATGTTTGTCTGCGTCCTGCCGTCACTCAATAAACAGCAATCATATCAAGTAATGTAAATGATGTAAGGCATCATCGAGACGGTTTTCAAAAATTGGTAGCGTGGGCGCTAAAATAACAAAAATCAAAAGCGCATCCCACGGTTGACAAACTCGAAAGGAAAGGTACTTTCGGCGACACTTCAGCCGACTGTATTGGGTGGCAAATTTCAATTTATGACCCTCAATTCTGTGTTGCAACTAATCTTCAGGAGGTCTCGGCAAGCGTGACCGGGGTTTTCCAAATCTACAACGACAAGATGAGGTCACCTCGTAGACGGCAATGTGTTCCGCTGTACATTCCCAGGGTTTCTAGTCGCTTATGGTATTGCAGAGGGGACAAACTCTTCACATTTTTCGTAGCCCGTCGCTGTGCGCTCTTCAGTGCAACCAGGTCGCGTTTTAACCAGGGTTGCCAAGCCTGGATCGCGTACGCTACATGGGGCCTCACATGCGCATTGAGCATTTGGGGGAAGATGGAGGGATCGAACCTCCCGAACGCCCTACGTAACAGACCAACATGTTGGTTCGCAGTTTTGGACGCCTTCAAGGACTGCGCCGAACAGCCGAGGTCGTCTTAGATTACCACCGCAAGATCGACCTCTTGTGAGGCCGTGTTCAGTATATCGTCTCCAAGCTTATATGCGTACGTGGGCTTGTGGCGGACATGCACGGTTTTGCACTTGTCTGTGTAAAACGGAACTAGATTTAGCTTTGACCATTCAATAGCGCAGTCTAAGTCTCGTTGTAACAAATCGTGATCTTCATGACAGTCGATTGCCCTCCATATCTTGATGTCATCGGTAACAAGCAGGAAATTTGACTTGCTGACACTCGCAAGGTCGTTAATGAAGAACAAGAATAACCGCGGCCCCAACACCGACCCTTGTGGAACACTGCAGTCCACACCAATTGGATCAGAAAATGAACCTCGAACTCGAACCTGAAGGCGCCGCTGAAAGAGGAAGTTTCCGATCCATCCAAGGACAGGGTTTCCAACTCCGTATGCTTACAGCTTTTGGAGAAGGATGCGGTGATCTATGCGGTCGAATGCTTTGGAAAAGTTTAGGTAGATGACATCAATGCCAGTCCCACTGTCGGCTATCTCAGTCCAACTGCCACGGGCAAGCAGTAGGTTGGTAGTACATGACCGATGCTGACGGAATTCGTGTTGCTCCGGTGCTATAATGTCAGACCTTTCAAAGTAGCCCATTATAGCCTCAGCTATGATGGATTCCATCACCTAAGAGAGCACCGGGAGGAGAGTCACTGGGCGATAGTTGGCTGGATCTGAACGACTACCATTTTTGAAAATCGGAGTAATTATATCTTGCTTCCACATATTAAGGACATGCTGTTCCTCCAGCCATCTTCGGAAAAGCCTCGTTAATAGTTCAGCTATCCTCGTCGCTGCCACCTGCAGTGCTTTCGG